AGTGTAACTGTGGAGTGTTTTCGTAAAATGTATCAGGTTCCCTACAACACTATGTACAATCAGAGCATCTGTCGGTGTTATAAATTACAATCGTTTGAACGTTGAACATTTTTTTATTATCTATCTATACTTCTATACTAATATTATGAAGAGGAAAGATTTGTATTTTTGTATGTATTGAAATAACTCAAAAAAAATTGCACCAATTTCAAAAATTCGTATACTAATAAACATCTACGTAATAACTAAATAAGGCTATGTTTTTATTATTTTTAAGCGGACGAATTCGCGAGCATTAGCTAGTTTACTAATATTTCTTGTACCATTTCAACTACATCTATATTTGTGCTAGGATATGGTTTAGAATATTCGAATGGCGGAATTCGAAATCCTTTAACCAATATGACGCTTTTAAATGTTTCTGTAAGAAAAAATGTCGATCGGTACACGGAAAATTGTTTTTGACCGACTTCCCATAAGAAGGAGGTACTCAATTCGTCGATATGTTTTTTTTTAGTATCTCATTTACACAATTTATATTTAAATGATTGGTTATTTGTAAGAGACGGAAATATCATGGAAGTAACCGCGAAATTCCCTAACTGTACAAATATGAAAAAGTGAATTTATCGATAACGCTTTCAAAGTACAGTGTACAGTTTTTTACAGTGGTAGAGTCCGCTTTAACATGTTAGCACTGCAGGGCTCGCCCCCAGTAATACCAAGACCACACAAGACAGGCGTGAAGTGGAAGTAATTCCGTGTTTCGTCTGATGAGTGTGGTGCCAGAGGCCTAATTTAAGTCCCTTACTCCTTACCACTCTTTTCTCATAAGGAGAGGATGGGATGGGGAAGTGGATTTGACAGTGGAGGAGATGCATAGGAAGGGAAAATATCCACTTTATGTGTGTCTCCTTCTCCGTCGAATGAGGGTAGGCAACGCAATTGCGGATGTCTACGGACAGCGGTCGCTTCGCCATTTTGGCGGATTTGGGTGGCCGCTTGCTCGTTTGCCACCTTATGTTATAAAAAAAAAGTCATTGGCTGCCATATCAATTGATACTCTATTTTACTGGTGTTCCTTAAATCTTGTATCATTTCCAGGGTAAACAGGGTAATGGCGTCTCGCAGTGCTGAAGGAACTGCAGTCACTTTCATACAACTGCCAGCGCCGCCCACACTGAAGCCGCAACCGTCCAGCGATGATGAACCCATCTGCGAACAATATCTGAAGGTATCACAGCTCTTGTTTAACTGGTTATCGAAATTCTCTAAAGTTGCGAGAATTGCTACATATAAAAAGGCTTGCTTACTTATAACTTAACTAAAAATATTGTAATTTTTATAATTGTTATATGACACTAGCTTTAGCCCGCGACTCCGTCCGTGCGAAATTAAAAAAACAAAAGAAAGTAGCCTATGTGTTCTTCCAGACTATTCTCTATATCTGTACCAAATTTCATCGAGATCCATTCAGCAGTTTAGACTACAAACTCTAACAAACATCCATCCATCCATCTAAACTTTCGCATTTATAATATTAGTAAGATTGTCTAACATGATTACAATATTTAGAGTCAATTACATACAAAAAAAAAACGATTTTCGTAAATTTTAAATCGAATTTAATTGATGTTTCAGATTAATCCTACTTCTTACTAATATTATAAATGCGGAAGTTTAGATGGATGGATGGATGTTTGTTAGAGTTTGTAGCTTAAACGGATGAACAGATCTCGATGAAATTTGGCATAGACGTAGAACATAGTCTGTAAGGATGTGTCCTTTCTATCCTCTTCTATCCTCTTTTGTATTATTAATTTCACGCGGACGAAGTCGCGGGCGAATGCTAATATAAAGATAAGTAATAATGTGTTTCTTATATATCCTAGAACACCAAAACTACTTACATAAAAACTAATTCTAATTGTTTTTTTTTCTAGGTATTAGAGGAATTGACAAAGAATCTATCTCCGACTATACTTGTTAGAGGATTAAAGTCAGTTACATCAACTACATTATAAATATTATTATTAATAATAATTACAAGACTATAGAAATTAATAATTATAATAAATCTGTCTAAAACTTTAATAAGTCTGTACTCAATATTAGACACGTTTCTGTCAATTTAAAAGAAAACTTTACGAAATAATTCTATAGTTTATTTATTAATAATTATATTTTAATAAAATTCGTCTATAAATTGTCAATTATTGTATATTTTTTGTAAAAAATATGCCGTTCTTTCAATATTTCAAATTAATTTTTTAAGTTATTTTTCTCATGACATTGAAGTTTTAAGTAATATTATTTGATTTTAACAAATTTACAAACATTTTAAAAGTGTTTAAAATTCTTTAAAATGTCTGTTCCACAAAAATAGAGTGTAATTTTTATATACAGGGCTATTTTTTAATTACAAAAAAATGTTACCTTTTTCTAATGCTAAAAAAATTTATTAGTAACATTACAATAAATTATTAAAAAAATACACAAAACGATAATCATATAAAAATACATAAGTTTATTGGTAATTAAAAAAATAACCCTGTATTTGTTGAAATATAACTACATTTGACTAAAAAAACTTGACAAAAATTTGCTTGCATTTACAAAGAAAATACTTTGTAATATATTGAAGTATTGATGAATTTCAGCACTCACAGTCACTAAGAAAGACCCTTAGTGTATCAGAGTTTACTAACAGCTTTACAAACGGTATAAACTTAGGAATAAACTGAGTATATAACAGTGGTAGAGCCCGCTTTAACATGTTAGCAGTGCAGGGCTCGCCCCCAGTAATAGCACGACCACACAAGACAGGCGGGAAGTGGAAGCAATTCCGTGTTTCGCCTGATGAGTGGTGCCGGAGGCATAATTTAAGTCCCTTTCTCTTGCCACCCTTTTCTTATAAGAGGATGGGAAGGGGAAGTTTGACGGTGGAGATGCGTAGGAAGGGGAAATATCCTCTTTATGTGCGTCTCCGTTGTATAAGAGTAGGCAACGCATCTGCAATCGCGGATGTCTATGGGCAGTCGCTTCGCCATTTTGGCGAATTCAGGTGGTCGCTTGCTCGTTTGCCACCTTATATTATAAAAAAAAGAGTATAAGTATTTTTTTTTTATAACATAAGGCAAAGAGACCGCTGCCCATAGTCATCCGCAATTGCAGATGCGTTGCCTACCCTTATACGACGGAGGAAAAGACGCAGATAAAGAGGATATTTCCCCTTCCTATGCATCTCCTCCACAGTCAAATCCACTTCCACTTCCCAACCTCTCCTTATAAGAGAAGGGTGGTAAAGAGAAAGGGACTTAAATTAGGCCTCCGGCACCACACTCATCAGACTGTACACGGAATTGCTTCCACTTCACGCCTATCTTCTGTGTGGTCGTGGTATTACTGGGGGCGAGCCCTGCAGTGCTAACATGTTAAAGCGGGCTCTACCACTGTTAGAAGTAAAATTTGAACTAATATTTGCTTATACTCAGTTTATTCCTAAATTTAACTTTATACCGCGTTTATTTGTAAGGCGGTTAGGGTTTTAATTATTGACAATTTGATGACTAAATCTAGATTATTAAAATATGATTGAATCATAAGGAAATTGTGATTTACAGTTATTTGTATTTGAATAACAATATTCTATTAAATTTGATTTGTAATTCATAATTAATAACAATACTTTTTAACAAGAGCGTCGGTGGCTCAATGGTGTAAACACTTGACTTGTAATCTACAGGTCTTGGGTTCGAATCCCGCTGTACCAATGTGATTTTCGATTTTTCATATGTACATAATTTACCCGATGTTTCTACGGTAAAGGAAAACATCGTGATGCACATATCGGTGAAGAAATTCAAAGATATGTGTGAAGTCAACCAACCCGCACTTGGCCAGCGTGGTTGACTATGGCCTAGTCACCCCTTATTAGGGTAGGCTCCAAGCCCCTCGGTGGGGATGTATAGTGAGCTGGAGATGATGACTTTTTAGCAATTATCTCTTAATATTAATTTCATTTGAGATTCATGTTATTTATATAAAAAAATTACTGCAATAGAATCTTTAAGTTTTATTTAAGATGTTGCTCGCGACTTCGCCCGCGTGAAATTAAAAAATATAGCCTATGTTACTCACAGATAAATTACCTTTCTAACGGTGAATGAATTTTTAAAATCGGCCCAGTAATTTTTGATTTATTTCAATACATACAAAAATAAAAAAATACAAATCTTTCCTCTTTAAAATATTATTTAAGATAATTTTTAAGTTGTAAGCAAAAAGTATTCTTTTCTCATAAGTTTTTTAACGTTTGACGTTCATTTATTCACTTAGACTTAAATAATTATGGAAGTTTAAATAACCAACTTATAGTTAAAGATTGAACACCAAAAAAACAGTATTTTTAATAGCAAAGTTACCGTTGACTAGGGGTCTGTCCCACAACTAGCTGATAGAGGCTCAGATAGCTTAAAAGTGACATGTCTGTCAGATAGAGTACCAAAATAGGATATTTTATACATTGAATTGTTATCTTACAATTTACAAGAATTGTGGAACAGACCCTTAACCTTTTATTTCCACTGAAAAAACTTTAAACAGTGGAAACGCACTGTAACTTTCTTGTAAATTGTCAGATAACAATTCAACGTGTAAAATATGTCATTGTAATATCGAATTTTGGTACTCTATCTGACAGTGACGTCACCTTAAGCTATCTAAACCTTTATCAGCCAGCGGTGGGTCAGGCCCTAATTTTTTTTAAACCAATGATTGCTACAAAGGCATTGTTAATAACAATTCAATCTGAAAGTGGCAGTTATTTGAGATTTTATTAGAGACTTCGAATTTTGTTTATTTAAAAAATCGTATAATCAAATAATGTTTAGGGACATTTATATTAAAAGTGTAATAAAGGTGTGTTTCCACTGTAACCAGTAAATTTTAATATCCAAACAAAAGTTTGCATTAATTATTATAATTTAATAACCCTGATTTCTCAACATTTCCATTACTGCGTGTTGTATTTTTTCTTACTTGTTTATGGTAATGTTAGTGGAAACACACCTTAACACATATTAGGGATCAATTAAACTGTATTTTAGATATTTTGTGATATATCAAATAAATGATTTATACTTTTAATATTGTTTTTTTTATTATTTCCAATAAAAATCGTAGTGCCATTGAAGTTACATTTATGAGTAAAAAAACAAACTTACACTCAAACACTGGTTACTTGAGTGTCACTAAGCGCTTCCCTTAGCTATCAAGGATTCGCAAGTTTGAGAGATTTTTCCTGAAGACGTTTTTGTAAGTATTTACCTATACTAATATAATAAAGCATAAACACACTTAGTTATGTAAGATGTCAGCAATTACAGCATATTTTTGAGTATTAAGGACCTGTCCCAAAACTGGCTGATAGAGGCTCAGATTAAAAATGACGTCACTGTCAGGTAACGAAATTCGATATTTCCATCACATACACGTTGGATTGTTAGACTATAATTTGGTGAGACAGGTTCTTACTATTTTAATAAAAGGTCATACTAACATGCTATATACATTTTTATGCTATTTATTAAGGTGGTGAATGAATTGGATTTGCAATTTGAGAAAGGGACCAAAACCACAAGTCAATGGTAAAGAAACAAGATTGCTATAGTAACGGTATTTGTTAGCCAATTCCAAAGGCCTTCGCTGTCAAGCATTTTCAATTTTTACATTTAATTTCATGCGAATAAAGTCGCACGGCAACAGCTAGTCTATCATACTTTCATACTAATATAAATGCGAAAGTTTAGATGGATGGATGTTTGTTAGAGTTTGTAACCTAAACGGCTGAACGGATTACGATGAAATTTGGTACAGATGTAAATGATAGTCTGGAAGAATACATAGACTACGCACTTTTGTTTTTTTTAATTCCACACGAACGGAGTCGCGGGCGAAAGCTAGTACTGATATAAAGAGGAAAGATTTATTTTTGATTCACGTAAAAACTACTGGGTCGATTTTAAAAATTCTTTCACCATGAAATGTAATTTATCTGAGTACAATAGGCTACGTTTTTTTATTATTTTTTAATTTCGAATTTTTAATTTCCGGGTGAAGCCGGAAACAAGCTAGTTGTTTAATAAATCGTAACAAAACATTGAATATTTCTTGCCATAAAATCTTTAATATTCTTACCGAGTCTGTGACAAGTTTTTAATTAATGCGGAGTTAATGCAATTTATGCTGGGACTTTGTATAATCCCGTCCCGCGATATTACCTGCCATCTCTGACAAAGGTGTAGGATTTGTACTGTCAAAGCATTTTGTAAGGAAATCTATATCTATGTAATGTTATAAAGAGGAAAGAAAAGACAAGAAGAAACAACTCAAAAACATCTGGGTCGATTTCAAAATTCCGTTCACCACTAAAAAGTTACGTTATTGAGTAACGTAGGGTGTATTTTGTACATTTTTTTAATTCCACGTGGACGCGCGAACAACAGCTAGTTTATATCGATTAAAAGTAGACTAAACTGTGCCACAACTGTTGTCGATTGTCGATTGTTACGCAGCCAATTCAACTGTTTAGTTGCACAACTAAAAATCGAGTAGTGTGGGCACATCTATATAAGCTCATAGGACTCAAAGCGTGAAGAGTTTTGCGATAGTTTAGTCAAAGGTGTTCGAGCACTCTAAAATCTATTTAACAAACTGTCATACTCAGAATCACTTAATTATTAATTAAACATTTAGTGTTATTTTAAAGGGCGTTGTCAGCCCATCTAGATCTAAGTACAGGGTTTTAATATGGTCTAATTCGAATATTTCCATAGTTATTTTAACTTTTTTTATATTTCCTAGCAACGAATCCCGTAATAGGTAATTATGCAGTTCCTTCATGTAGAAACTTTAAGGATTACTTTGTTGATATTAAATGGAAAATAAAACGCCATTTACCTAGTGTTTTTAATTTTTTTTTACACGGTTTATTTTTAATATATTCATATTGCTCAAAGTGTAGCAAGATGCAAATGTTTTAAACCATCGGTCTACATCGCTGGTCAGTAACGAAAATAAATTCAGGCCAGTAACGAACCCCATCAGCGAGGGCGTGGGGTGTAGGGGTGGTATGACGTCAC